GAAGAAGGGTCTAGGCCCGAAACGTCAGCTTTCCTGCTCCTTTGATGCTACTTGGCCTGCTGTGTTCATCCAGCTCTACACCTTGTTATCTCAGATTCTCCAGCATCTGCAGTTCCTACTATCTCATTGTCAGAGCTTCTGTATTTGCACTACATCTGTCATGCATTTGGCCAATGATCTTTGCTTCAGATTTGGTTTCCTCTGAATTCTCACTTTGAACATCTTTTCGGTCGTTTGTAATCTACAACAGGAAATGGATTATTAAACCTTCCCATTGAAACAATTCAATTATTTTTTACGAATGATGTTAAGTTCCTGCTAGCTCTTAACTTTTTTTTTTAAGATTGTCACTTGAGTCCTCCCTACAATAAGTAAAATCCTGCTTGCATGTGCCAGCAGACCATGTCATTTCTCCCTTAGTGTCTTGTTCATCATTGCCTGATCTTGATCCTTAACATTCATGCATGATTTACAGACAGTTTATAGAGACACCTTTTTGTATTATACTTGTATAGTAAGCAGTGACAATTAGGAAAGTCACCGTGCTGTTATTGTGTCCATTAAATCCCAAATGTAGTGTGGTAAATGATCGCACTAAACATGTTTACATATACATTTATCTTGTGCTTTTACATGTTAAAACATTTCTGTGCTTCACACAGTGCCATTTGCTTTTGACGTGCCGTACCTTGCACCAAGACTGGTACAAGAATCAAAGTTGTACACTATATCTTAACATGTCTTGAGTTGCTTTGGAATGATCAAAGGAGTGCTGTGAAGTTGGACCTGAACAATGAATTAATTGGAGCTGCCAGAATTAGCAGGAAAAGGCAACATTCAGGCTGTTTCCACAAGCAGATCATATCTTGCATGAGACAGAATCTTCATACAAACATCCAAATAAGAGGCGTGGGTCAGCCATTCAGCTTCTTGGGCCTGTTCCATTTAATATGATTGTGTCTTCAGTGTAATTGTGGCCCCTACTTTCCGTTCTACTTGCCGTTTGTGAGTTTGAAGACTCAACAATAAACATGACAGTCTTATTCTGTTAGATTTATAAACCATGCCAACAATCACAGTCCCATAGAATACACAGCACAGAAAAAGGTCATTCTTCACATCTGGTGTATGCAGCTCTACATAAGTCTCTTCCCAAATGTACTATAACTTCTGATTCCTTTTCTCTCTTTCTCACTCATACATGGTTAACCAGCTCTCCCAAGTTCATTCATGCTATTCACCTCTGCTATCCCTGGTGGTAGCGAGTTCTATCCTCGAACTAATCTAGATAAAGTAGTTTCTCATAAATTTCTTATTGACTTTATTGTTGACTGTCTTCTGATGAGAATATTGTCTCCTACTTTATGAACGTGTTTGTAAATGGAAACATCCCTGACTTAACCCTTTCATAATCTTGCAAACCTTTTATCTGGTTAGCTCCTCAGCATTCTCTTTAAAGCAGTTTCCCAGATCAACATAATCTCTCCATTGTGGAATCAGGAAAACCTACTGAAGGGTCCAGCTTAGACGTTATTGTTCTTCTTTTTATGTGGCACACTCCATTCTGGCACCTATATCTGTGGGCCTTTTGATTTGTGTTCAGTTCATTGTGTACTGTGGAGATGGAGAACTTCTAACAGCTTGTGACCTGAAGTAAACAACTTTTTTGTTAATGTTAAGAAAAGCTTTTGTCTGTTTACTGCAATTGCTAGTACTTTGTGAAAGATACAGGAAGGTTGTTTCATTCACCATGTCAGAAATAAATTTTGCATACAACTGCTATCTGGGGATTGTTGAAGTGCCATGTCGTTCTGAGGTGAACACCCAAATCCTAATCTCTCTTTTTAGTGGATACTTCATATTCAGTTTAAGGAAGTAAACTGTATGCAAGCTTCTAATTCATTATCAATCTTTTATTCATTGTCAGTGACATGACTCTTTCTCTAATTGATGACTGAAGAAAATGCAAGTGAGGTAAAGTTTGCATGTCACAAGCCAATATGTATTATTTAAAGGACATTGGCTAGATGGTCTACATGATGTCAGACATTCATGCAGTTTGGGATATTGAATAGGGTGACCACAATAGTTGTAGTATGGAACGTTAAATATCAAAGCATCATTGATTAAATATCTCACTGAAATTTCCTCCTTGGAATCCATTTTTAGTTCTAAAAGCATTTGGAAGTTAGTTGCTGCATCACCAGTGATTCAATATCCCACTTATAAAATGATCCAGTTTCTGTTTAAATCATTTTTAACAATTGCAGCCTTCTTGGAATGTTCACTGTTCTAAGCAGACAGCCTTTAATTAATGACAGCATCATAGAAAGCTGTAATTTTGCTGAGCTAGTTCACTGCATCAGTCTTCTTTTGCAGCTATGAATGTTTACATATTATGTGCTTCTCCTCAGTCAGCTTCTTTTTAAAAAGCACATTTTTTGGCTTCAATACGCCTGATCCTCTCAGATCCAGTGTTAACGGTTTATTAAAATGTATTAAAATAACTTGTGCATGTTTGTTTTAAAATGCTTGCACTACTAATTCTAACCACCCTCATCAAGAGGCAGGCTATTGATGACACATTGTACTGTGCTTCAACTTGATCACGTTTGCATTGTTCAGAAGAGTCTCAATTCTTCCACCACTCCCAACTAAACTACTTCCCTTGTTCTTTTCCAGGAAACAGGCAATTGAAAATTATCATCATATCATGTCAGAAAACATGCATCTGTCTAAGATTCAGGCTCAAAAAATGTTGGCTTCATCCATTAGAATAAAAGCAAAAAAGCTTCGCTCAACCATAAACAGCTGGGCAGATGAGGCTTTGTCAAGCATTGCAGAGCAGGGAAAGGGCTTGAATTGAACAAAGATTGTCTTCTATGGCTTTCACTTGGCAATCTGCCTAGAGTGTTACCAAATACATGCTGGTTTAGCCTCACTGGTTTTGTCTGCTTTGTATTTTTTTTTCTTGTTCTATAATTCTAAACATGAATACAATTTGCAAAATTACATGGACACCTACAGTAACTTTATTATGATGACTGTATCATAATGACAGTTGCTACTTTTGGTTTCACCTGCAAGTACTTTGAATTTTACTGCAGGGTAAAGCATTTATTCTCCAGTACTTGAGCAAAATTAGTTTGTTCTCCATTCATAATCATTCTAGGTGAAGTATTATCTGCCCCTGGTTTGGGATTCTATTCAACTAAATTAAAACTACTCACTCCATTCAGGATTAAAAGTTTTGAGAAAATGCTGCTGGAGTTAACCAGTGGTGTACACAGTGGCTTATAAACCAGCTCACTTCTGTTCTAGCAGCAGTTAGTGTAAAGGGGATGGGTAAATGTTTTCTAGAGATCCAATTGCCCCTTTTTATTAACTTAATTTCTAAACAATATATTGTGTAAATGTCGTTTCTCAGTTGCTTAAACTATTTTTAAAACATCAGAAAACTTTGTGCATGAAAATGATTGTGAATTTGTCTTGTAGCAGTATGAGTTTCAAAAGGTTACTTATGATTAATATACTTTAAAAATTGATCACTGCATGAAGGGAACAATTTTGTTTTTGGCAGGGACACTGAAATTTTTTAAAGCTAATTATAAAGCACAATTTAAAATGGGATCATTAAAATTACAGACCGGAGAATTTACCAATTAAGTGTTAGCAAAGAATGTTTAGAATTTTATTTCTTTTTACATTGTGTTGTTTGATCAAGTATTATGGATCAAATTCCTTTAACCAAATAAATGCCATTTTATATTTGTATTTTAGCATGTTTCTTAAATTGGCACAAATTATAGTTAAACCAATAAGATGCTGCATGTAATTTGCCAAGTGCTGAGGATAGGTACTGTGTTAAGAGTGAGTGTATATTTGTGTTGTTGAACCTAAAGTCTGGAATTGACTGTGATTCGTATAATACTCTGTTCCTGTACATTGACATTTTCCAGTTTAAACCTTATTTTTGTAGCTAATGTTCACTTTCAGTCAAACTACTGTGCAAAAAATGATTAAACTAGTAGACATTTTTCTGGTCCAAATATATAGTTTTCTTTAAAGGGCTATATCTTTTTTTTTAGAAAAGGTTAGATTTTTTTTGAAAGACTTGGGTAGAGAACAAGAATTGCATGTGATTTCCTGCCATGTGACTTGTACTGGATTGAAAAATAGGGGTAATGGAATGCAACAAATTCCAGAAGCTCATATCTTTGGTCCTCTGCCTGTTTTCATGTAAATTTTCATTTCCTCAGTCACGCTGCAGATTTGATTCTTGATGTATTTTGAAATTTGGTGCTGGGTAAGCCACTTACACTCAAAGAACTTGTGTGACATTGGTTTTTATGTGTCAATTCATATGAAGGAATTTAATATGTATTTTTTAATTGACATAAGCTCTTCAGTGTTATGGTGCAGTTATTATAAGTTACCTTAAGCCTATGTTTTAGGGGCTCTAATGGCATTTTAGCTAAGTTTTTTTTTTAACATACACAATTGCAGAACACAACAATGTTGTATCTGGCATGAAATTTGATCTTTTTTATATTTGTAACCAAAACATTTTTACAGTTTTAGAATCTTCTGATCACAGAATAGAGTGCAAGATTATCTGCATGTCTTTCAGATTTACAAAAAAAGTCTCATGTGAGCTTTGTCAATACTTAAAGAATTTCAGATATGTATTTGCCTATTATTGTTCTCATGGAATAATAAAGGATTAGTTTTCAGCAAATTGGTTATTTTGGGAATTACGAATGACTTCGACAACTGTATGAAGAACTTTATGATCTCTGTTGCTGAAACATGCATTCCATCATAACTGACACATAATTTTGCTAAGCTGTGCTCCCAAATTGAAAATCATAACCATGTAATGATCTGAAAGTAGATTATGAATCCAGAGATAGATTGTAATGTAAAAGTGAGTTTAATGGACTTCATTTCAATCCAGAGGATTTCCAGATGTTTCACATGTAAGTGTATTCACTGTGAAAGCAACGTTTATTTCAAAACGTCTTGTAACTTTTCAAAATATATAATCATTTGATTAAACATTCATATGTGTAACAAAACTTGTGTCCTGCAGCATTTTTTGGATAAAACATAAGATCTCATGACTAATGTTTCTTTAATTGACTGAAATGTTAACACAGCACAGGAAGTGATTGTTCATTGCAGAGGTCAAGTTTGTGTCCTTAATATTTTGACCAGCCACAAAGTTTGTTACATGTTAAAAGAATAGAATATTTAATATTTGGTTTGCAAATAAAGGCTGAAGATTGACTGACTGGCTTTCATTTCTGACTTGAATCTTTCCCTGCTGATTATATCACTAACTGGTACAATGCTTTAAGACAGTGTAAATTACTAAGAGGTATGATAAAGCATCACAAAAACAAAATACAATGTTCACTTTTCATTTTCTGTCCTGGTTGGAAAAATTAGGACATCTTCCACCAACTCCACATCACACTCCCACAGGAAGGTACTCGTGGATTGATTTTCTTCCCTTCATTGAGTATGGGAATCCAACAGTAGAATTATAAGCATATGCAATTATTTGCTTTTGTTAGGCAAGTGCCAGCGTACTGCACTGAAGGTGTCTGTCTACCACTTGTATTGTGGCAGATCTGAGTCATTAACTATAATGTGTTGCTATCATAATTTTGCACAATAAATCACATTGATTATGCCCTGCCATGCTGGATTATAATGATAATGTCTATTTAAACAAATAGCTTGCATTAATAAACCAGGAACTTGAAGTTGTGGATTTGTAACTTACAGCTACAGACACTTTTAGCCTGTTCTTAAATATCAATAAGTTGATTGGAAGCTTTGGGCAGCTTCCCAGCTAGGCTAAGTTAAGTCTCCTGCATTTTCATGTTGGATTGGAGATCTGGACATCATCCAACCTTCTTTCAATTTTTCCCCAGTGCTGATCCAGAATCTAGCAAGCAATCCTCTATATCTGACAGGAAAGTAATGGGATCCAATGAAGAACACATATATCTGGACTTTTTTTTTTCTCATCCTCCTTTCCAAACGGCAGCTCATCATAGTTGCTGAGGGGAATGCACAGTGGGGACAGCTTCTTGAGTAAAACTAACAAGCTAGGAACCCTTTGATCAGTTACATGTGAAGCACTCTAGCCATGGCCAGATGAGACACTGCTGTTCATAGTTTTTCTCTCAGGATGCTTTATCAACTTAGAATCATAGAGATGTACAGCATGGAAGCAGACCCTTTGGTCCAACTCATCCGTGCCGACAGGAAATCCTAAATTCTTGAAAGCAGTTCAACTGTCTAACACTTCACTCACCTTAAGTTGCACTTTCCTGCTGCCAGCCTTCAGCTCAACATGAAAGAAGCTCCTACAGCTGCATTGTTCGTTCTCCGAAAACAGGCAGGAGCAAGGTCATTCCTAGCAGCGGCATGATCTGCCGGTGCAACCACACTCCAAAGGACAGTGAGATCTGGCTAGAAGGAGGTGAACCCCTCAACACTATACAAGCAGCAGATCAGTTTCCTTTACGTTTCCCGAGGCACAGGTATTCAGACAAGTCACTGCTGATGACTGCAGCCTGCTTAAACAAGGCCTTCCCAATATAGTATGTGGCAGTAGCTAACAAGCTACCTGTCGCTGTAAGTCTACCCTCACTACCATCCTCCTATGGCTCTTGAGCCCCCTCTTCCCCAAGTGAAAAAGCAGAAAGGTACCCAAAATTACTTGTATGGAGAGGCTGTTTAACTGTAAATGGACAGTTAGGGTATCTGAGTGATTGTTGTTCAGATGGTGCCAGGAGAGGGATGGACTGCAGCACAGGAGAACGCTGGACAAGTCTGAGAATGGGCCTTGTTTCCTGAACACATTGTAGTATTTGCCTGTCATTCCCTCCTGAGCTCCTGAATCTTCATGCGTCCCATCTAGTGACAGAGGACTAACGGGTTCCTGCTGCTGGTGACCTCGACTACTTACATCCATGTTTGTTTGAGTGAAGGAGTTGTTCTCTTCCTCTTGGCTTTGGGAGAGCTCATTCAGGGCAATCCTGGAGATCCGACAGCATAACTTTCAGGAAAGAGTGAGGAATCTGCAAAAGCCTTCACAGCCTCTTATTCATTCCTGCAGTAGTTAGAACCTCAAGATCAAAATGCTGTTGTGTAATCTATGTAATCCATAGCATAGCCCTATCAATTAAAAATTTTTGATTTGATTGACTAAACAGAATGGCCATCCTATACTCCCCAATTTTTGGGGAGCCCACAAATGGAATGTTCATTATGTTGCTGTGCGAAAGATCCTCAGCAAAACCTGCCTATTAGGAAACCACGTTCCCAACCCAGAACTAGTCTCTTTGGCCCAGCAGTATCTAAGTCCTCAAGGTTCTGCTTTTGCGCTCCCTGATTCCAATACTGACTCATTTCTTACAGCCTTGAATGCGTAATAAGCAAGTGACCATTCTGAAAATCAATGTGAATTACATTTGCTGGAGTCACATTCAGGAATAATCAAGGTCAGAAGTCACATGAGCTGAGGTTCTAATCCAAGAGGTTTAATTGAAATCACAAGCTGTCAGAGCACTGCTCCTTCACAGAAGAATAGCCCTTCACAAAAGGAGCAGCGCTCCGAAAGTTTGTGATTTCAAATAAGCCTCTTGGACTATAACCTGGTGTTGTGTCACTTCTGAGCTTGTCCACCCGAGTCCAACACCAGCACTTCCACATCAGAAACAAGCAAAGGATGGATTTAAGAATATGCAGACTATCCACTAGAATTCTCTGTCAATCCACTAGAAAAGGAAGTCTGTCTATATTCACCGCCTGCCACTTAAGGAGAAATGAATAAACGATATTTGGTCACTATCCATAGAACTAAAAAGTTAGAATTTGGTCAGAAGAGAGACTAAAAGATTGGGAATGCAGATTTTTAGCTGTGTTACTTAAGATGTATACAGAGCACAGGCAACTCACCGCCCCACCCCTACCTTAAAATCCAGTGTAAGGCTGTACAAAAAAATGTATCCAGAAAAAGCCAGGAAATAATTGTGTTGGGAACATTTACTATTGTTGAGATGTCCTGTGTTATCCTATTATGGAACTCCAAGTCTCCAAATTTGATTTATACCATCAATTGTACCAAATGATGTTGATCGAGCTGCTGATACTATTGCTCTAAGGTGTTAAAAGTGGCTAAACTGAATGTTCAAGATTTAACCTTTCAATTTTACATTACTAATGCCAATTCTCCATTTTACTGGTCATATTTATTAATTTAATTAATCTCTTCTCCTGACTCCCAAAAATGCCCCAGTCTTTAATTCCTAACTTGCTAAGGACTAAGAAACCATATTCCATGCAGTTTCTGTACAAAACCACATTATAACTTTAATAAACAAGTGTTCCAAATCAGTTAAACAAATAAAACCATTCTCTTAGAAACTGTACTAGCACTGTACAGTCGACTTTTCATCTCGAGTACACGCAATGTAAAACTGTACACATAAAAATCTAGACCACCTGATACACAAAATACAGCATCGGTCTGTCATTTCACAAAGGAACACAAGCAAAACACAGTTTTACAATTTTACACCATGTACTCTATACAAAAATAAATTATTAAATACTCAACACATTGCACTTTGTAACAGCAAGGGATGAGATACTTTGGTCAAGCAGATATGCAACTACATGAAACACTGCAGTCTTTTAATATGATGAAACAATCAGACAATTATCTTTAAACATTTGTGAACAATTATACTATTGTGACCAGGTCAAAAACACGCAAGTGCAATAACAAATATCTAATATATCTGTTCTTCAGAAAGAAGTGCTTCACAATACTCATTGTAGATGTGTAAAAGTCACTCATCAGTCTATAC